GCTGGAGTTGGTCCTGCTGGAGGTACTGCTTGAGCTGTTGGAGGTAGTGGAGGCACTGGAGCTACTGGGCCTGGAGGTGCTCCTGGTGCTGGAGCTGCTGGCGGTACTGGAGCTAGCGGTCCTGCTGGAGTTGGAGCTGCTGGAGCTGGAGCTTCTGGGGGTGCTGGCGCTGGTGGTGCTGCTCGCGCTGGTGCTTCTGAGGGTGCTAGAGTTGGCGCTGTTGGAGCTGGAGGTGCCGCTGGGGGTACTGGTGCTGTCCCTGCTGGTTCTGGAGGCGCTGCGCGGCCGCGGCCGTACTTCGTTCCGCTCCTTGAGCAGGTTCTTGGTCTTCCGCCTTCTACTGGTCCTGCTCCTCCCTTAGCGTGTCCACAGCCTGTCCAGTCGTAGTCATAGTTACATCCCGCCTCCCCCCTGCCTGCTCCTTCTCCCTACAGTGGTCCTACTGGAGGTCTTGCTGAGCGTCGTGAGCCTGCGTCTTGTCCTGCGTCGCCTGTTCGTGCTGCTCGCACTAGTGGTCGTGCTCCGCGTCCGTGTCCTCCTGCGGTCCCAGGCACACACCAGATGGCACTGCGTCCTTCTACTGCTCCTCTGCGTGTCCCGTTGCCGTCTCCTCCAGATTCCTCTCTTCCTGTCCTTGCTGACCCAGAGTCTAACTCTCTTCGTGCTGCCAGTCCTACTGTCACGTGTCTCCTGGCCACTGTTGTCACAGACCCTTCCTTTGAGTCCACTGCCGCGTCTGCCTTAGTTGCTGAGCTTGTCGACTTTGCTACTCGCTGTCGTCTAGACTACGCCACTAGTCTTGTTACTGAGTCTGAGTCTGTTTGTCCTCCGTCCGTCTGGGGTGAGCGTGCTCTTAGCACGGACGTCCTTGAGGACAGGCAGGAGGAGTTACAGTGTTTTGCTGCTGCTTTGCCTCATCTCGCGTCCACGCCGATTGCCCCTGAGGGAGACCCGGATGCACCAGACATCCCGACTCCTCGATCCTACGCTGAGGCGATCGAGGGTCCCTACTCCTCTTAGTTGCAGTCAGCCATGGACGCAGAGATGGCTTCCTGGAAGTCCACAGGCACCTACGTCGACGAGGTTCCCCCACCTGGGGCGAACATCGTCAGTGGCATGTGGATTTTCAGGGTGAAGCGGCCGCCGGGTTCTCCGCCTGTCTCCAAGGCGCGTTATGTGGCTCGAGGCTTCAGTCAGCGGCAGGGAGTTGACTACTTTCAGACATTCTCTCCCACCCCGAAGATGACCACTCTTCGTGTGTTGCTACACATAGTCGCTTAGCGCGACTACGAGCTTCACTCTCTTGACTTCAGCACAGCTTTCCTGCAAGGCAGCCTGCACGAGGAGATCTGGCTGCACGGCCTACCTGGCTTTACTGGGTCGTTTCCTCCTGGTACCCATTGGAGCCTCCGGCGGCCAGTCTACGGTCTCCGCCAGGCGCCCCGTGAGTGGCACGACACACTGAGGACTACACTTGCGGCTCTTGGCTTTGCTCCTTCTACAGCCGACCCGTCGCTGTTTCTGCGCACCGACACCTCTTTGCCGTCGTTCTACATCCTCGTGTACGTCGAGGACTTGGTCTTTGCCACTTGTGACACTGATGGACTCGCCCACGTGAAGTCCGAGCTGTAGAAGAGACACACGTGCACAGACCTGGGTGAACTGCGCAGCTACCTTGGCTTGCAGGTCACCCAGGACAGAGCACAGCGCACCATTACCCTGACTCAGTCACACATGGTGCAGCAGGTCCTTCAGCGCTTCGACTTCACGTACTCCTCGCCTCAGGCCACTCCTCTGTCTACTCGCCACTCGCTCTCAGCTCTGCCTTCGGATGAGTCCGTAGAGCCGAGTGGCCCGTACCCAAAGCTTGTTGGCTGCCTCATGTACCTGATGACCTGCACACGACCTGACCTTGCATACCCTCTTAGCATCTTGGCACGCTATGTTGCTTATGGGAGACACCGACCAGAGCATATGGCTGCAGCGAAGAGGGTGTTGCGCTACTTGTGCAGTACGTCTGGGATGGGGCCAGAGCTTGGAGGGCGACGTCCAGTGGTCCTCATAGGTCACGCAGACGCTTCTTGGGCTGACGACCAGGCTACGCAGCGGTCGTCACAAAGTTACACCTTCAGCCTTGGCTCCGGCTCTGTTTCGTGGCGGTCTACCCGCTCGTCTTCTGTTCTCGGCTCCAGCTGTGAGGCTGAGATCTACGCGGGGGCCATGGCTGCACAGGAGCTACGCTGGCTCACCTACCTGCTGACTGACCTAGGAGAGCCGCCTCGTTCTCCTCCAGTTCTGTACGTAGACAACAAGGCCATGCTGGCCTTGTGTCGGGAGCACAGACTGGAGCACAGAACGAAGCACATTGCTCTTCGCTACTTTCTTGCTCGTGAGCTGCAGCAGCGTGGTCAGCTGCGCCTTGCTTACGTGGCCTCTAAGGCCAATACTGCTGATAACTTTACCAAGGCACTTCCGCCTGGTGATCATCAGCGCTTCTGTACGATGCTAGGTCTTGTGCCTACTTGGCCTCACTTGCTCACTTCTTGACCTTGCTTCTACTGTGATCTTTCTATACCTGCACTTGCTTGTTTACCTTTATATATGATCTTGTATGTAAACTGGCCTTGTGGCCTTGCTCTTGTGCTCGGACTGTGTGGTGACGTAGTGATCCACCCTGAGCTTGCTTTGCTTTGCTTGACTGGTCTTGTGACCTCTTGTTCTCCCCCACTTTGTCTATGGGGGTGTGTCAAACTTATATGCTATAGTCTGTGTAGGCTGTAGTGGGGTAGAGAATATGGGGTACAACATTTCTAGGTTTTCCTACTTGTACCCACCTGCTTGCTAGTTCATTCATTCCTCATTCTTCACAGACGGCTTATGCCAGCTATTCTTGCTTGCCTTTGCTCTATCATGCTATTTCTAGCAAAGGATACTTATATGCATGCATGAATTGCTTGATTTCCTAGGCTAGGTGCTTTCCTATATTTTATTATAGTTATAGCACCAAGCTAGGTTACGTGCACCGAATTATGGCTTTTCGGTTGCCACCGAATTACCTTCTACCGAATTCAGGAAGGATCTGTTCGGGACGCTTCGCGACCCTCGGAACCTTCGCGTAACACCTGGTTACTGGGCCTTGTGTCGAGCCTATATATAGCCTCGAGTTGTACCCAGGTGATCATTCAATTCAATTCATATTATGTTTTATGAGCTTGATCCTAGATCCTCACAGTTGGTAATTAGAGATTGTTTAGACGCGAAGTTTTTCGACCGCTAAAACCTAGTTTTTTTTTTTTTTTTTTTTTTGGTGAGCATAAGTACACTACACGTATTGTTGGGTGCAAATTCACATTGCACGACATCCTGCCGTCTGTTTGTACGAGTATGCGTGTGCGAATGCATTTGCGTGTGAATGGTATGTTTGTGTGTTTGTTTGCTTTCGCAATTTTCGCTTGAAGCATTTGCAGGTACTCGCAAAATGTGCGCTTCGGCATAACATTGTACGCGCTATGAACAGTACAAGCAGAAAGGACGAGCTCGCAAAGGAACCCAAGATGGAAGCTTTGCGGTTCAACTTACTTGATTGCGCAGATTCAGTTCTATCCAACTCGAAATTGTACTGTTTTGTTTGGTTGACTATAGTGTAGCAGGGCAGGCACTATAGGGGTACAATTTAGGTGAAGGTTGGATGTTGTTTGTCTGTATCTGCATGCTACAGGGCCAGGGGAAACCAGCGGAACCAACATTTGGCTGGTTGGGCAAAGACAAAACAGGTTCTGTTTTTAGGACCTGAACCTGGTTGTTGTTTTCCCAGGTTGGAAAAACAGAACCAGAGGTTGTTCACCAACCTACCACCTGCTATTTTGTCCAGCCAGGTTGGTTCTGTTGCTTGGAATTATTTGGGATCATCCCTGGTTGTTCCCAGGTTGATTCCCAAGGTCCTTGCTAGCTAGAGCTATTTATTTCTTCTCTGTTTGTACCTGAAAATAGTAAAATTGATTCAAGCGAATTCCTTCCTTGCTGGAATTTCTTGTCTACGCGGTGCGACGGCGGAATGCTACCCGAGTCAACGCTAGTACGCTAGCACTCCAACGCTAGGCTAACGCTGTCCGAGCCATAACTTCGTAATGGCAGAACTTTTCGCGAGGCAACTTGGCTTATTTTAAAGCTCTTAGAGTGAGCTTCGATATAGGAAATTCTCAGCTTAATCCGATCGACGGTCTGCACGATACGCTGCGCGACGTTCAAGGTACTCTTGCTGTTTTGACTAAGTCCCTCTTGATTCCTCTCTCTACAAACTCGGACCCGAGGATAGGGGCTGGTCTTGTACCAGGCACCCAAGGACCCTTGGAGGTGACCCCGAGGAGAGGTTTTAAGTGTGATAAAGTCTTAATAGCTTGAGTTTATTAGGCCCTTACACCAACACGTATACATACACTCGCAGTCGTAATTGATTCTAGGAGGGCATGCAGGTGGCTACAGGTAACCAGGCCCCCCCTTCCATCTCACGGGGGTTGAAAGGCTACACCGCCATCTTCCCATATGGCCTTGAAGCCCGCTCTCCACGTCATCAAGGCTTCGCTCTTGTACAGTCTCCTTAATGCTTTTGCCTCGTCAGCATCCAGATGACTCCACTCCCCTGTCTTCTTCGAAACATTCTTACCAGCCGACCGTTTCCGCACTCTGCTGTATATCTTCACGTGTCTTGTAAAGCCAACCGCTATGTTCCTCAGTGCCCTCTTAGGCTGGAAACGGCTGCCACGGAACACCGCATTGCACCTCTCCAGCCGCATTGCTGTGCTGTAATTGAAATGGTTGCAGCTTCCGGAAAACCGGTCGACGTGCCACTTTTCTGGAACAGCATGTCTCCAAGAGACTTCATTTCCCTGCCTGGGTTCATGCACTGTACCACGCCCTTCATCACCTCAACCACTGGCTGTATCGCCGGGCAGCTGAATAAATAGTGATCCTGCGACTCCACCTCTCCACAGTGTACACACTTAGCCCTCTCCCCCAGGAAGGGGAGCCTCTCCCCCACTTGCAGGTTGTTGTTGTGCAGCCTCAGCACCACCTCCCTCGCTCTGCATGGGGTTGCCAAAGAGTCCCGGACCGTGATGGCCTTCCCCCAGTCGATCCTCTTTCCCGTCTCCTCCTCCCACCGCAACTGCTGCTTGGGCTGAGACAGCGAGGGTTTCATCGCCTTCCTCAGCTGCTGCATCTCGGCTCGTTCTCCCTTTTAACAGATCGGAGTGTGTAGCAGCCTTGTTCTTGGGGTACCTAGCGGGCCGCGAACTCTCATTCCAGGACCACCTCGCTTTTGAGGCTTCTGCCACCATCTGTGCCTTTGGCCACCAGGTCCCCAAGGCGGACACCTTTCAGACAGAGTGAGCCTGCTTGATTTCCGAAAGGCGAACCACCCCTGAAGAAAATCTTGCGGTTAAAAAGCAGCTGCTCCTCCTCTGCGTCCCATCTGTGTGCAGAGTCGCCCATGGTCACAATTTTCGATTCCCACAGCGCCTTCACCACTGCCTTCCACCTCATGCCCCCTCCCAGCCAATGCTTCAGCACTGAGGGGTGGGCGTAGATCGTGGCCAGGCCGAGCGGGAAACCGGCCGCCCTCTCCCATAGCCAATTCCAGAGCGGCACCTGTTCTGCCAAAACTTTTCCCAAATTTTGTATCACAGTGCTGTCAATCCGCTGCTTCAAGTCGATCACTCCCAGACCTCCTTCTTTCCCCCCCCTGCACGACAGCTCGTAACTCCAGAAGATGAAATGCCGATCGAGGAGTGCCTTTCCACCCGGGATGAAGTTGTGGCATAGTCTTTTCACCTTGGTCCAGATATCATACGGCGGAGCATATATCTGTGCTTGAAACAGCAAGATCGGCATCGCGTAGCTGTTTATAATTGTGACCCTCGCCGATGTCTTAAGGTGCTTTGATTCCCAACAGCTCAGCACCGCGCTGACCTTTTCAAACGCTTTGTCCCATGCAGGACCCGGCGACCCACCAGAGGTTATCCAGATTCCGAGCAACCGCTCCAACTTGCCCTTGTCAGCCCATGTGAAGGGCGACATTATCGGCTGCAGCCTCCTCATATTCTTCCCTAGCGGCATCGGTGTCGTTTTGCTGCTGTTCACCCTCAGCCCCGAAATTTCTGCAAATTCGTCGAGCAGTTTTCCCGCTGTAGCCACTTGCTCCTTTCCTCTCAGGACAAGGGTTGTATCATCTGCGTATCCAATATACGCGAGCTCCCCCTTCACCCCCCGTTTCCGAACTCCCAGATTTCTCCTCCCTATCTCCTGGCAGAGCGGCTCCACCGCGCAAAGGAAGAGGTACGGGGGAGCGGACAACCTTGCCGCACCCCCTTGTCCATTGCCACACGATCTCCTACCCACCCGTTCAGCAGCATCCTGGTTGCCGCGCCATCGTGCAGCCCTCTCACCCAATGCACATACTTCTCAGGAAAGCCCATGTTGTTCAGCGTCATGAACAGGTAGTCTCGCGACACAGAATCGTAAGCTTTTTGAAAGTCCACCAGCAACAGCAGCCAATCTTCATCCTCCTCCTCCGCAGCAATCGATTACATCCGCTACTAGCGAGACCGCGCCAGCGAGGCTCCTCCCCGGAAGAAAGCCAAACTGTTTGTCCGAGATCACCCGTGGTAAGACTTGCTTGATTCTGTTCGCCATCACTTTCGCCAGTAGTTTATAGAAAAAACTCAGTAACGTGATCGGTCTGTAATTGCCCAAATCGCATCTATCTCCTTTCTTGTGTAGCAGGATGGTAACCGCAGTTGTGAACGCCTCCGAGAGTACCCCCGTCAACTCAAAACCTTTAACCTCCTTCATTACAGCCGGCCCAAGCAGCTCCCAATGATGCTAAAAAAATTCCTTCGGTAGACCGTCTTGCCCTGGAGCTTTTCCCACTGGCAAACTTTTGAGCGCTGCTTTCACCTCTTTCTCAGACCACTCCGCACCAAGTTGTAGTTGATCCTTTTCCTGCAGCATCTTGCTTTCATCTATTGGCCACGACACCATGGTATGATTTGGCGGTGACTCCGCGTACACTTCTCTGAAGTGCTCGGAGGACGCCTGTAACACTTCCTTCGCCCCTTTCCTCTGCGTCCCCTTGAAAACTAACTCCAGAATATCCGTCTTTGCCTTTCTCGACTTGACCAGCCCCGACAAGAAACCCGAGGGCGTCTCGCTCACCAGCTCCATCAGCATCCCTGTCATGACCTGCAACCGCTCCTTGTTACTGTCATGATAGAGCTTGAGCGCTGCTTCAGCCTTGACAAGCTTCTCGTATAAGCCTTGTGATTTGGCATCTGCCATCACTTTCCACCGCAGCTCTTCCACTTTCTGCTCTAGATGTGCCAAGGTCGCTCTCACCCTCTTCCTCTCTTCTGTTACATGAGCCCGCATGCAGGCTCGCATGTTCACCACAAGTCTCTCCAGGCTTTGATTGGAGCTGCTCTCGTGCGCCGTCACCACTGCTGAAATGATGTTCTTGACCCCTTCACCCCCGGGTCGAGGTGCCTGGTGCCTCCACAAGCCAGGACTGTGGTCGTCCGCTGCCGCCGCCTTGAGCGCCACCTTCACCGCAAACCAGTGGTCAGTCAGGCCATAGGGTACCATGCAGTGCTTCGCCTCCGTTACACACCCGAGTAGGGAATGAGAAACTAACACCCTGTCAATCCGCGTACTCGTCCTTGCAGATCTAGAGAAGAAAGTAAATTCTCTACACGTCGGGTGAAGACTCCGGAAAGCATCCTGCAGGTCCCATCTCGAGCATATCTGCAGAAGCTTCTGGTTCTCCGCCGGAGTCCCCAGCTTTGAGGACTTATCCAACTCCGGGTCCGCTACGATGTTCAAGTCTCCTATGAGGACGGTATAGGGAGAGGCGGCCAGGCCTTGTACGAAAGGGGATAACTCATCATGGAAGAAGATCCCCCTGGCAGTTGCCTTCGCCGGCAGATATATTGCCACTATTCTGCACTTTAGATCCCGCCAAGATACCATCAAGCTCAAGAGTCGACCAGACGCATGTTTACTAACTTCTGTGAAACGCTCCCTGGCAGGAAACCCAAGACCGCCACCCCTCCTGCTCTCTGCAATAGGCCAACCACGACCTGAGCCTATGATCTAACTTGCGTCCAGAAATTGTGATCGGCTGGAACACGCGTATCAGTAAGTACCACAATGCTTGCTGCTTTCCTGATCCATTGTGCGCATCGTTCTTGCTTCCCACTGCTACCGAGCCCGTTGATGTTGAGCTCGAGAATGGTTAGGTTGTTGTGCTTATTCATTGGGCCACTCCTTTGAGCCCCACAACATCCACGGGTGATCGAGTTTTATTGCGACGATACAACCAGCTACAGCGAAAGAGAAAAAGCACCGACTTCACAGCCTGCTCCCAAAATCCACCTTACCGCCTCCTCCCTTCTCTTCATAGTGCACTCGTCCAGGTCACTGCTCACTTCGCTGCCGGTTTGACAATGAAGTCCTTTTTGAAAGAAGCCATCTTCTGAGAGTGCTTGCAACATTAGGCATTTTGCAATGGAAATGGAGCCATGGCCATAGCGGAGAGCTTTGACTAACCCAATGTCCATCAATTTCTTGCCTGATGTCAACATTGAAGTTACCAGACGATGCGCGGTTACGTCCTCTTCACAATGGTGCTCTTTTAGTGTTCATTACGGGAACCTAACCACCATTTATTTGAGTTCCAGGCAATTGTCTGTGTTTCAGTGTGCATCCTGCAAGCTAAGAGTTCAAGGCTATTTTTAAGGCTATAAGCAGCTCCATGGATACTAACGCGCGCCATTATCATTGTCTCCATCAGGTCGCGTCGACATCAATGGTTTTTCAACAAACAGCCCAGTGTTTCCCAAGGACAACTATCTTCGAGGCCCTGGGCCATTCCCTGAGGACGCACTTGTCGCCTCGGGCCTGGACCTGCATCGTTTCGCTTTTAAACACAGGAGATATAAGACATCGGAGGTTTTGGTGCTCAGATCAGCTTTTTCTCCAGCCACTCTCATGCTGTCAAGCCTTTCTCATCATCGCACAATGGTGAAACCGCGTAGCAACAAAGCTGGCAAGAAGTTGGAGGGAGGTGACCACGGAAAGGAGACAGAGACAAATGTTCCTGACGTACCTGTGCCAGATGCTGCTGACAAGAGCCGGGCCATCTCCCCAGCGACGCCTGCTGTGCTTGGCCCTTTTGAAGACCTGCTTGATCTGCAAAACAAGGCGGAAAATGCTGCTGGTACTAGTGATGGCGTCGCTGTTGACGAGGCGACTTCTGGAGGACAAGATCAAGTCCCGGTGAAAGAAGGATCTACTCACACGGACAATAAGGATGATGAAGAAGAAGACTTGTCTGATCCGGTCCCGGAGGAGGAAGACGATGGATATCTGAGTGACGACTCGGACGAACACCTGGAACCTGCCTCGCTCTCCAGTGCTTTGGCTCTGAAACGTTTCACAGTAACCTTGCTAGTGCCGATCCTCAGGAAAACGGAAGTCAAGCGCGTTGCTGTTACGATAGCTGCGTTGTTGGACGACTGGAAGGACCAGTTAACTCCGGATGTGCTGCAGACCACGACCTAACAGGAGCTTTCGGCGACCTTCTTCTCTGGCACACGCTACGGTCGGCTGCAAGTCACATTTAACCATGTCAGAGACACGCACTTCGTATGGAATCATGTCATCAAACACGAGTGTGTGAATGGGGACATCATCGACCTTACCTGGCAATTCCTTGAAGACGCGCGCTTCCTCCGAGAACGTGTTCTAAACCCGTTGGCGCAGGAGGTGGTGGTCAAGGGGGTGCCGGCAGAAATCACTGCGGAGCTTATTCGCCATCTGCTGGTTGTGTCAAAGCTGGTCAAGCGAGGCAGGAGTGCTTTTGCCAGAGGTTTTGGCTTTCACCGTACGCTGGATTCGGTTTCTGGGCTTGATACTGACCGTATTCGTGGGCTGGTTGTTCCTCATGCTGAAGATGAGTATCGCTGGAGGTATTTTGTGGAAGAGCCGACATCGAAGATGTGACAACTGAACGAGAATGAATGCACTATGAAATAAAGTGAGTACAAATATGAAACCCTAGTTGGGTTGTACCCCCTATGGGATACCCCACTATAGCCTACAGAAAAGAGTAAGCTATAATGTTCTGACACACCCCCATAGGCAAAGTGGGGGAGAACAAGGGGTCACAAGACCAGTCAAGTAAAGCAAAGCAAAGCTCAGGGTGGATCACAAAGTCACCACACATTCCGAGCACAAGTTCAAGGGCCACAAGGCCAGTTCACATGCAAGATCATATATAAAGATATACAAGAGTCAAGCAAGTAAGAGCAAGAGTATATATAGGTGAAGGTACAAGCAAATTCAAGAAGTGAGCAAGTGAGGCAAGACAGGCACAAGACCCAGCTGCGTGCAACAACGCTGATGATTACAAGGCGCAAGTGCCTTGGTGAAGACATCAGCAGTGTTGGCCTCAGAGGCCACGTACGCAAGTCGCAACTGTCCACGCTGCTGTAGCTCACGAGCAAGAAAGTAGCGGAGAGCAATGTGCTTTGTCCTGTGCTCCAGTCGCTGCTCTCGACACAAGGCCAGCATGGCCTTGTTGTCTACGTACAGGACTGGAGGAGAACGAGGCGGCTCTCCAAGGTCGGACAGCAGGTAGGTGAGCCAGCGTAACTCCTGTGCAGCCATAGCCCCAGCGTAGATCTCAGCCTCACAACTGGAGCCGAGAACAGAAGACGAGCGGGTAGCCCGCCACGAAACAGAGCCGGAACCAAGGCTGAAGGTGTAACCCTGTGACGACCGCTGCGTAGCCTGGTCGTCAGCCCAAGAAGCGTCCGCGTGCCCAGTGAGGACCACTGGACTGCGCCCTCCAAGCACTAGCCCCATGCCCGACGTACTGCACAAGTAGCGCAACACCCTCTTTGCTGCAGCCATGTGCTCTGGTCGGTGTCTCCCAGGAGCAACATAGCGTGCGAGAATGCTAAGAGGGTATGCAAGGTCAGGTCGTGTGCAGGTCATCAGGTACATGAGGCAGCCAACAAGCTCTGCATACGGGCCACTCGACTCTACAGACTCATCCGAAGGCAGAGCTGAGAGCGAGTGGCGAGTAGGCAGAGGAGTGGCCTGAGGCGAGGAGTACGTGAAGCTGAAGCGCTAAAGGACCTGCTGCACCATGTGTGACCGAGTCAGGGTAATGGTGCGGCGTGCTCTGTCCCGGGTGATCTGCAAGCCAAGGTAGCTGCGCAGTTCACCCAGGTCAGTGCACGTGTGTCTCTTCTACAGCTCGGACTTCACGTAGGCGAGTCCAGCAGTGTCAGCTGTGGCAAAGACCAAGTCGTCGACGTACACGAGGATGTAGAACGGCGGCAGAGAGGTGTCGGTGCGAAGAAACAGCGACGGGTCGGGAGTAGAAGGAGCAAACCCAAGTGCCGCCAGCGTAGTCCTCAGTGTGTCGTGCCACTCACGTGGCGCCTGGCGGAGACCGTAGACTGGACGCCGGAGACTCCACTGGGTACCAGGAGGGAAAGACCCAGCGAAGCCAGGTGGGCGACGCAGCCAGATCTCCTCGTGCAGGCTGCCCTGCAAGAAAGCAGTGCTGAAGTCAAGAGAGTGCAGCTCGTAGTCACGGTGAGCAGCAACGTGCAGCAGTACCCGAAGAGTGGTCATCTTCAGGGTGGGGGAGAAGGTCTGAAAGTAGTCAACCCCTTGCCGCTGACTGAAGCCACGAGCCACGTAACGCGCCTTGAAGACAGGCGGAGAACCCGGTGGCCGCTTCACCCTGAAGATCCACATGCCACTGACTATGTTCGCCCCAGGAGGGGGAACAGCGTCAACGTAGGTGCCTGTGGACTTCCAGGAAGCCATCTCTGCATCCATAGCTGCCTGCCACTGAGAGGAGTAGGGACCCTCTATCGCCTCCGCGTAAGAGCGCGGAGTCGGGATGTCAAGTGCATCCGGGTCTCCCTCAGGGGCTAGTAGTACAGACGCGAGATGAGGTGAAGCGGCGGCCAGACACTGGAACTCCTCCTGCCTGTCCTCAAGGACGTCCGTGCCAAGGGCACACTCACCCCCGACGGACGGAGGACAGGCAGACTCAGACTCAGCGACAAGACTAGCAGCGTAGTCTAGACGATAGCGCGCAGCAAAGTCGACGAGCTCAGTGACAAGGGCAGACGCAGCAGAAGACTCGAAAGAAGGGTCAGTGACAGCAGTAGCAAGGAGACGCGTGACAGTAGGACTGGCAGCACGAAGAGAGTCCGACTCCGGGTCGGCAAGAGCAGGAAGAGAGGAAGCAGGAGGAGAAGGCAAAGGGGCACGCAGAGGAGCAGTGGACGGACGCAGAGACATCCGGTGCGTGCCAGGGACAGGAGGTGGACGCTGACGCGAACCGCGACCACTAGTGCGCGCAGTACGAACACGCGACGCAGGACGAGACGCAGGCTCACGACGCTCAGTAAGACCTCCAGTCGGACCAGCGTAGGGAGAAGGAGCAGGCAAAGGGGAGGCAGGCTGTAGCTGGGACTGTCATGAGAGAGGCTGTGGACCATCTAAGGAAGGAGGAGGAGGACCAGGAGAAGGTGTAAGACCAAGAACCTGCTGCAGAAGCGGAACGAAGTACAGTCGGGGTCGCGTGGCTACGCCAGAAACAGCAGGGACAGCACCAGTAACCCCAGTAGGAGTATCCGCTCTAGCAGCACCTCCAGCAGTACCTCCAGTAGCTCCCGAACCTCCAGCAGCACCACCATGAGCACTGCCAGTCGGACCGCTAGCGGTACTCTCAGCGCCAACACCCTCAGCAGCACCAGCTCCAGGAGAACCCTCAGACCCAGCAGCTCCAGCACCCACAGTACGAGCACCTCCGGGACGCTCGGCAGCAGCACCCTCTGCAGCCGAAGAACCTCCAGCACCAGCAGCACGCCTCCAGCGTCGGGCAAACCACTCACGCAACTCCTGTGGGGAGAGTGGCTCTCGGCGAGACGAAGTACCTC